CGTGAGCGAATTTACTTCGTCGCATTTTGGCTCCTTGATCCATTTGTTCAGGAGATCATCTGCTTTAAACAATTCTTCCTTCGAGTACTGGCATTGTATCGGTTATGAATTTCCAAACACGTAAGGCGAATTAATGCGCCGCTCTTCTTCTTCCCTCTGCTTTTCCTCTTTGTTTTCTTTTCTTAATCACCCATTTCTTCTTCTGCTTCGCCATGATCCTCCCGTGTTGGTCCTCACTCGCTGGGGCCATTAGCTGCCCTCCACGCGTTTGTCGTTGTTTGTTTAATTGCTTTGCACTCAGGCGAGACTCACAGCGTGCAGTCGATCGCATCGAACACCGAACGATTACGCTTTCCTCTTTTGCTGCCTTTAATTACCCATCTCTCGGTAGCGTAGTGACAGACGCGGTCACTTAAGATTCCGGTAATCATCGCATAAATTAGACCGGCAGTCGACAGTCGCTCCGGTCGCCTGTTGTCATGACGATCGTCACACTCTTCTCAGCGGTGACGGCCCTCCTTTCAGTGACCCTCCATCGTTAAGCGCTATCCCTCATCTGGTACAGGGCCAAACTCATCTTGCTATTCATAACGGCTGTCGCTGCCGCACAAGCGACAATGATGAAGCTTCCTATGCAATATGTGCAAACAACCGATGTGGCAAGGAGCGGTTGACAGGGATTCATTTCGAGGTCACAGAGTTATGGAGATCTCTTCTGGAGGTTATTGCACATCGGATATGCGCTAGAAATCTCCTGTATGTCCATCAGCGATGACAAGCCATAGAAAACCGCTTGAAACGGCATCACTATTCCGGTGCAAGAGAAAACCCCATCATTCCGAAAATAAGAACTGAGCTGTACAGAAAATCATCAATACTACACTCAGTTCATACACCCGTGAATTCTCCTGCAATAAAATGTCGTCTATTGCTTTCTAGGCGTATTATATAACATTTGTCATGCTATTATACGCTGTATATAAAAAGTGCTGAAACGATGAAGTAGTATTTGCCTGCACAGCATTAATAAATACTGAATACTTAATAAACTCTGACGCAGACAGCTTGTGAGAGACTTCTCGAAGATCAGAGGTACGCATCCAAAGGAATGTTTCTGTTCTTATCAGAACTTCACTTTCCATAGAATTACTAAGCAATACCAGCCGTTTCCTCTGCTTTGAAACGCTATCTTCTTCATCTTTAAGGTTGCATTTGATTCAGTGTCGCTCAATAACGCTCAATCTTAAAATGTCTGCCTGAGTACAGTGGACAAGGCGTATGGAGCAACTGTGCGTGCTCCAAGGTCGAAGGAGCGTTTTCTACGTATTTCTCTATTACCTCTGGAATCTGCCTTCACTTTTTTCATTCCTATTGTTCGAGATGACTTTTATTCGAGATGGCTGTGATCCGAGCAATGACAAAAGCATTTGACCACAAATCTTGTTGACTTAGAGTACACGGATAATACTGTCCTTTCGAGTAGTACCGAGCAGAAACTTCGTACTCCAACACAGCGACCGATGCACCATAGCTGCGAACTCCAGTATCTTCATTGCTTCCTCAAGGCAGGCGAAAACTCATCTAAAACTTAAGCTGGCAGGTCAATGATTTTTCGAGATCAGTAAAACCTAGGCGCCTTAACTTCAGTGTTGTGACTAATCGGTTTCGGTACGAGTGGATTTTTGACGACCAAAGTTCGCAATGACATTGTGTGAAAATTCGCTGGAACGGTCCAGAGAGTCGACTGCTACATCCTTTGAGTAGCCGTTCTGGTGAATTACTGGATGGTTAAGTAATGTATTGCTCTCTGACTCCAAAACAGCCACGTT